AGGCCGCCATAAGGATCCCCGGCCAGGTGGGGAAAGGCGGCGGCGGCGTCGGGCGCCTGGCCGTAGGGCAGCGGCGGCTGCGGGTAGGGCGGCGGGAAGTAGGGCGGCTGGAAGTCGGCGGCAGCGGCGGCGGCCGGCGTGTGGCAGAGCGGTGGCGCTGACCTGTAGGCTGCCTGTGGCAAAGACGACAGGCGGGCGCCGCCAGCCGCTGCGCCCAGCCCGTCGGGGCGTTCCTGAGGAAGGAAAGGGGCGAGTTAGGTGACCCACAGGAAGCTGACCCCAGCCCGAAAAAACCTTCTAACTCCAACTCCCACCCTTCCAGTTGCCGTCCCACCCGCTTCCCGGGGCCCGAGGTCCACTTCTGAGTGACCCGCGGGCGCGGGAGCCTCAGGCTCGGGACAGCGGTCTCCTTCACGCAGCGTTCTCAGCTGGCGGAGTCCCTGTGGCCCCCTCCCTGCGAGATTTCGTTGGCGCAGGGGCCGGAGGTACCAGAGGTCCAGCCCTCAGGCTCCCGATCCGTTGAAATAGTATGCCCTCGATGCCTGGACACCCGAGACTACTCACCATCGCGGAATAAGTGTGCACCAGCATGGGTCGAGTAGTTTGGGGCACAAGGCGTGGCGGCGGTAGAGCCCTCGCCCGACGGCGAGCGCCGCGTAAAGAAGCACAGGTAGCCCGCAGATTCCTAGGGGTCACGGCACTGCGGCGGTGTCCACTTCAGCCCGGAGCCCAATGGGCGTCGGGTCCTTAGCGGTGGGCGCCCCTGGGCGGGTCCATGGGGGCGGGGACCTGGGCCAGACCGGTAGTCCCCGGGCCAGACTGGCACGGATCGTACTTGGAAAAGTCGGTCAACGAGTGCCCAACGCTCGCCCTTCTCTCTCTCAGAGCAGCCTGCTCCATGCACTCCAATTATAGCGGCGGCTGCGCGCCGGGCCTCCGGGGGCGCGCATTAAAGAAACACGACGTGACCGCTTTCTCCCTTTTCCCTAGCGGCCGCCAAAGAGGAGGCGTGGCTTTGCAGGGATCCCTGTAGTGGGGCGTGAATCCAACTTCTGCTAAGGCTGAGTTGATCTTCTGGGCTGGCAGCTCGCAGCTGCGATGAAACAGAGATGGATTCGAGGCAGGGATATAGGAGCCTTAGGTTTGTGTCTCGGCTCTATCACATCTTGCCTTTGAGCAAGCCACTACTGTTCGTGGGCCTCGGCTTCCTCATCTGTGCAATGGGTACCTCTTCCTCTAACCACATCACCGGACTGTGGAGGAAATGGGCGATCGTGGATGTGGAAGAAGTTTGTGAGCTGCAGACTCAAGTCCATCCACCCAAGTGCATGTGTGGGTCTGTGTGTGGGTCTGTGTGTGTGTGTGTGTGTGTGTGTGTGTGTGTGTGTCACCATCTCTCCTTGAAACAAAGCCCCTCTGAAAGTGCCCACTTGTTTCAGGCTGCCCAGGGTTGGTGACTCCAATGCCATGCCAGGGCCTTAGGAAGATGGAAACACAAACTGACCAAAATTTCCTGGCGCTGGGACATGAGTTCTACCTGAGAAGGGGTCAGGATGTTTCTGAAACCGTGGGTGCCTAGAATGATTGAGTGACACCCAGAGCCTGTGACACCCAGAGACTGCAGAGTGTGTGTAACTGCCCCGTGTGGATGGTGTGTGAGTGTTAGGCTAACACGTGCAGGCGGTGTGTTTATGTGTTACCACACAGGCACTGTGGACACTTAAGCATGTTCCACTCTCTGCAGTCACTCCCTTTTTCTTTTTCCCAACATTCAACCCTCCTCTTCCTGAGAAGCAGGGACAAGGATTAAAAAAAGGGAAATGAGAGGAATGCTGAGGGGAATGGAAAAAGAAAGCAGAAAGAAGATATTAAAAAAGCAAGAAGACACAGGGACAAGAGCATTTAGAAAAAATCACAGCAAACTTTTATTACAGAGTCTTCCAGTGTGCTAAGTGCTTTATGAATATTGAATCATTTGACCCTCACAGCAGTCCTATGAGAGAGATTGCCTTATCATCCCCATTTTCAGGTAAGGAAAATGAGGCACAGAGAGGTCAAATGACTTGCCCAAGGTCAAACAGCTAGTTAAGTGGCAGAGCTAGAGTAGTCTGGCTCCATCCCCTCTTTCTGCTTGAACAACTGTTCTGTACTTCTTGTACTAGAATTTAGTCCTAACTGTGACTGGCTGTGTGACCCTAGGCAAGTTTCTTTTCCTCTTTGACCTCAGTTTCTGCAGCTTCAAAAAAAACAAGAAGGGCTGAGAGGACTAAATATTTTCTTACATGACTTTCTAGTTAAGTGGAAGATGAGAAAGTGAAGGCGAAAATATTGAGATAGATGAAAGGAGAAGAGATAGAGGTGACACCATTAATCTGTGGAATGTATGTGGAAGAGACTTGAAGGTGTATAAAAGAAGGCACGCAGTGGGTGCAGCGCTCAGGCCTGGGTCATCTCAGCCTGAGGAGTTGTGGGGGAAGGAGCAGGCTGGCAGCAAAGGATTCATCACTAAGAACTTTCAGAAAGAAACTGGAACCACCAGCTGGTGGATAAAGCAGAACTGGGGCAGCTCTGCAACCTCCCTGCCCAGAAGTCAGGAGTATGTTTTTGTCTGTGTCTATATATGTGGGTGTGTGAGGCTGTGGCAACACCTCTGTTCCCCCCACCCTCAACTTCAGCCACAGGACATCAGAAGTAACGGTCAGGTCAGGTGTATATGTATCTGTGCACAACATGCAAGTTGGTGGACCCATTCGGGAGAAGTCCAAGGAGGAGCAATGGCAATGATATTGTCCATGCCCAGCTCAGGGGATCCCCCTTTTCTCTCCAGCAGGCTTGGGAAGGCCAGAATGACAGGACAGGCCGCTTGTCCAGTGGCTTCCTTGGGTTTCCTTATCCTACTTCTCTGTACCTTAAGACACTCCCTTCTTACCTGGTTCTCCTCCTTCTACTCTGACCGCTTCTCGGTCTTCTTTTCTGTCTCCTCTTTTTTCACCCACATCTTTTATGTCAGGTATTCGTTCTCAGAGTCCAAGCTTCTGCCTTTGTTTCCAATCTACCCTCTTCATGAATGAGTTCATCCTCTCTCAAGACTTTAACGACGATCTGTCTGTTATTATCTCCCAAACTTCTTATTTCCAGCCTGTATCTCTCACTGGAGCCCTGGTGGCACAGTGGTTAAGAGCTCACTGCTAACAAAAAGGTCAGCAGTTCAAATCCACCAGTGGCTCCTTGGAAACCCTATGGGGCAGTTCTACTCTGTCCTATAGAGTTGCTGTGGATTGGAATGGACTCAATGGCAATGGATTGGGTTTTATTTTTTGTTTTTGTTTTTTATCTCTCACTAGAGATCTAGACCCATAGATGCAACTGCCTGCTGGATATTTTATCCAGACGTCTCATTACAGCCATCTGAAACTTCCCAAGTCCAGAAGTGAACTCTGCATCTCCACCCCCATCACCAACCCCAACTTGCTTCTCCTCCTGTGTTCTATCGTTCAGTAAATGGCACCACCATCCTTCAAGTTAAAAACTTGCAAATTATCCCAGACTCTTACCTTTCCTTCACCCCCATAAGCCAATTCTCATGGAGTGTTGTCATTTCTAACCTCTAAACAACTCTCTTCACCCCTCTGCCATACCCTTAAGCTACCATACTCTTTCTCATAGATCGGTAGTTCTCAAAGTGTGCTTCCTGGGCCAGCAGCAACAATATCTGGGAACTTGTTAAAACTGCCAGTTCTTGGGCCCCACTCCAGACCTACTGACTCAGAAACTCTCAAGGTGGGGCCTGGCAATCTGTGTTTTAATAAGCCTTTCAGGTGACTCAGAAATACTCTGAAGTTTGAGAATCACTGTCTAGACCATTGCAACCCCTAAAACAAACCCATTGCTATCAAGTCAATTCCAACTCATGGTGACCCCATATGTTACAGAGTAGAACTGCTCCATGGGTTTTTCTTGGTTGTAATCTGTATGAGAGGAGCCCTGGCGGTGCAGTAGTTAACACTGGGCTGCTAACCGAAAGGTGGACAGTTTGAACCCACCAGCCGCTCTGTGAAAGAAAGATGCAGCAGTCTGCTTCTGTAAAGATTTACAGACTGGGAAACCCTATGGGGCAGTTGTACTCTGCCCTATGGGGTCGCTATGAGTGGGAATTGACTCGACAGCAAGGAGTTGGGTTGGGTTTAATCTTTATGAAAGCAGAATGCCGTTCTTCTGCAGTGCAGCAAGGTGGGCTCGAACTGCCAACCTTTAGGTTAGTAGTTGAGTGCAAATCGTTTGCGCCACCCAGGGACCTCTAGACCATTGCAACAACTCCTTAACTTGTCTGCCTTCGTTCAGGTCTCTTGCAATTCAAATCCAATTCCATTCAGCAGCAAGAATGACTGGACCATGTTACTTCCCTACTGAAAACTCTCCTGGGACTCCCCATGGCTTATCTACAGGAAAAATGTTCGAATACTCTAACACACCATTCTAGGCCCTTCACAACTGCAGCTAACTTTCCTTCTTTGTCTCATCAACTACTTTACAAGTAGCAGATTAAAGAAAAGATAGAAAATGTGTCCGGCACTGTGCTTGGCTCGTGGCAGGTGCTCAAGAAACGCTTATTAAATAAATGATAAGTGAGTTTATGATCCTTTAGTCTACTGAGGCGTCCATATGAACATGACCCTGGGTAGACACAGAGTTTGGGCATAATTGAGGGACGTTATCTGATGAGTCCCTGGGTGGTACAAATGATTAATGCACTCAGCTGCTAACAGAAAGGTTGGTGGTTGAAGTTTACCCAGAGGCACTTTGGAAGAAAGGCCTGGCAGTCTATTCCAAAAATTTGCCGTTGAAAACCCTGTGGAACACAGTTCTACTCTGACACACACGGGGTTGCCATGAGTAGGGGGCTGACTCGATGGCAGCTAACAACAAGAACACTCTGACGAGTGAGTGATTTTGTTTATGGATATGGGGGAGAGGTATGTTCTTCACGGTCTGCAGCTGCTCTTGGGGATCTCCCAAACTTTAGGATCTCATGGTGGCAGACTCTGGTCCCCTTCTCTTTCAGAGTCAAGAGACTCCTCAATTTTGAGGCATGGAGGTGGGCATTGCTGGTCACGTTTTCTCTAGGATACATGCACACAGTGGTATACATGCAGACACCCCTGGGGTTCACAACAGGCACAGAGACACCCATGGGAAACACACATCTACATGGGAGCACAAGACATACGTTGGTCCATTGGCACATGCTCACACACACAGGGACTCCCATTTGGCATACTTGACATATTGCTCTTCTCCCAGGCTCAACTCTTCCCCTCTCTTCTCAAAAAGTGAGTTTGCCTCCCTGAGGGACCGAATTACTGGGCTGAGGGCTGTGGGGACCATGGTCTCAAGGAACATCTAGCTCAACTGGCATAACGTAGTTTATAAAGAAAATATTCTACATTCTACTTTGGTGAGTAGCATCTGGGGTCTTAAAAGCTTGTGAGCAGCTATCTAAGATACTCCGCTGGTCTCACCCCATCGGAAGCAAAGGAGAATGAAGAAAATCAAAGATACAAGGGTAAGATTAGTCCAAAGGAGTAATGGAC